TTCTTGTTGCTTGCATTTTTCTAAAATCCATAACAGTGGTATCAGAGCTTCCATTGATCTTGACGGATATCTGAATTCGCTGAAAAACAACCAATTTCAACCACTTTTAAACCATACACATTTTTACCCTTACCAATTTTTAACCAAATTTTTAACAATGGCAAAGAGCGGTCTCTCTTTGAATACCCCACAAACTTTCACTGGTGAAAACTATCAGATTTGGTCAGTGAAGATGAAATCTTATCTTGAAGCTTATGATCTATGAGAAGTTGTAATGGAAGACAGACTTATACAACCACTTCTTGCAAATCCTACCCTTGCCCAAATCAAAGCTCATTCAGATGAGAAAACCAAAAAATACAAAGCCAAAACTATAATTCAAAATTCAGTTGCAGATTCAATCTTCTCTAAAATCATTGCATGTGAGACAGCAAAAGAAGCTTGGGAAATACTCAAACAGGAGTATCAAGGAAGTGAGCGAGGCAGACAAAATCAGATTTTAAATTTGAAAAGAGATTTTGAATCTCTTAGAATGCAAGATGATGAGACCATCGCTAAGTATTCTAACCGAATTTCTTTAATTGTCAATAAAATCAGGTTGTTTGGTGAGGATTTCAAAGATGACAGGATAGTTGAAAAAATTCTTGTGACAATTCCCGAGAGATTTGAATCCAAAATTTCCTCTTTGGAAGAGTCTAAAGATCTCTCTACCATCTCTGTTGTAGAATTAATAAGCGCTCTTCAAGCACAAGAGCAAAGAAGGTCCTTCAGACAAGACAAAGTTACCGAGGGTATTTTTTTATGCGAAACACCAAAAAGAAAAAGTCGATTATCCTTATTGCAAATATTGCAAAAAGAAAAAAGAAAACACACTTAGAAAAATTTTGTTGGTGGAGACCTGATGCATTATGTGGAAATTGCAAACAAAAAGGTCATGTTACAAAAGTGTGCAAGTTCAAAGATACTCATGCACAAGCACTAATAGCAGAAGAAGGAATTGAGGATGACCTTCTTTAGACTACAACAACAGAAGCAAGGAGGAGTGTTGGATTTTGCATCTGTTACTCCTACTGTTTTCTAGAATAATTAGTTGTTTAGTTTTATGAGAAGTCTGTTAGAAGATTCAGAATTTTAATTATAGTAAGAGTTTAGTAATTTAGTTGTAGGAGGAGTCTACTACTTTATTTATTTGGCTATTTAAAGCCCTATAATTAATAAATTTTAGAGACAGTTTTCAATCCTACTTTCAACCTTCTTGTTGCTTGCATATTTTTCTAAAATCCATAACAGTTTCCCCCTTCCCCAAAATCCTATTCTATTAGGCCAGTGCACAAGCGTGAAGTATAAATAGGTAATATTTACTTCTAATAGTTTTACTGATATACATTTTATCGAATTAGTCAGCGTAGTATTTTTAATTACTCAGTATGATATTATATTTACCCGTGTAAGAATCAATCAACTTTGTAAGAAGAAAATTCATAAAGTCGTTTGTCGTTCATGCGAGGCACAACATACGTCTTCAAAATATTTCTTAAAACTTTACTGTTACATGCCCTCATCAATTATTCAGTAGGATTATGCATCAAATGATTAAGTATCTACTCTTCTGAGAAATAGAGAAATTAAGAAAGTCCAGCTACTTCCCACACAGGTGCAAATTCATTACTTCCATTTCTACGGCACTACTATGTGAAGGCTATAGAAATTATAAAAGAAAAGCCCTGTGCCTAACATCACATGGCTGAGTAAGCATTGATGAGTACGTCTTTAAAGTGATGTAGAACAATAGTTATTGGTGAAATGGTGCACATCAAAAGTTATAATTAACAAATAGAGGTGGAGCTTGTTATGTCCGAAAAAATCAGCCAGTCTTGCGGATGCTAGTAAAGCAAACCCTTAACGATGATAAATCAGATAACAAAGAAAAATCTACCAAAAGAGACACAACATAAAATGTGGTTCGGTCAACTGACCTACATCCACGGCGGAGATGAGCAATCCACTATATAAAAGAGAGTATAAAATATTGAGCGAACAACCTCACGAAGAGGCAAACACAAGTGACACACTAACACTTGTCCTGTAAAGTTCTTTATCTAAACAAGACTCTCAAACCTCATATGACTACATTGTGGATGCTACTAATGAGAAAGAAGGATCCACAATTTATAGAAGTCCAAACCTTTTCCTACAAGAAAAAAGGGCTAGCCAAATATGGAAGATTTATAATTTCCTTTTACGAAAAGGAAAACTCAATTATGGTAAATATATTGTCATTTCCTTCAACAGATAGGAAAACCAAATATGGTAAGAAAATCTGGACAAACACCTAACAGAGCTAGAGTATTGGATACGGGTTGGGATGGACCCAATATAGTTTTTGCTGATGATCTACGAGTTTAATGGTAAGTTCGAAACTATAAACTTCAAATTCTCATACCACCTTTGTTAACAAGCGCCCTTCTGTCTTTAACCATTTGAAATAGTTCTAAGTTTGTCACATACAAAAGATTCTATACCGTATATATTTCCTAGAGTTCTCATGTTTGTTCAAATAAGCAATCAGTGTTTGTAGCTGTAAGGCTATAGTACACCAATCTTTTCTTCATTTATGGTCTTTATTCACTCAAAAAGGGGCAAAGAGAGAGATTATACTACCAGAAAAGTATAGAAAGTGGAAATCATTACTTTTTTGGAGTCCAACTGTAGATGAATAGGAGAATATGGAAGAAATTAAAATGGAATATGCTATGGAATTATTTTCCTCAAAATGATCTTTAACTGGATATGATGATACAATTGTCCAATTTTAGGATATATTTCTCTTGTTGCCACCTGATTATGTGAAGAAATTAAAGATCTACATTTATTATGGTCCTTTTTTTCCCTATATTTAAAGTTCAATCTCTTAAAAAATGGATACTTGTATTATTATATATTTTATAAACTGGCAAAAACATTTTTACATGGACTCAGTAAGAAGAAGACAGATCAGGAATTTGTCGAAAAAAAGAAGATGCTATTATGATGACATTTACCCAAACTTGGCCTCCTCTAATTTATTTAATTTTTTTATTATTGTTTCAAAAATAAAAATAAAAATTAGGGATGATGTTTAGTCTGCACAAAACTATACAGCTATTGGATTCTAGTAAATGTCTCTCATTGCAGATTCATGGAATCAACTTTTTTTAAAAGGAGAGGTTGCTATTGGCATTGCAAAGTCAATGGAAGCATATGCTTTCAATTGATAACTTAGGTAGGCCTATTTAAATGACAAAATTGAATAAAAACAAGAAAAGTAATAGAGAAAAAAAAAAAAAGGAAATGAAGAAGACGACACCAAATGACACACTAACCAAACATACTTATTAGTGTATGCCAATTTTGGTGATCAGCTTTTGCTAAGGTGGGATAAAAGGAGCAGCGGGCATATATGATTGAACTAAAGCTTCATAAAGAATTCAAATCCAACTATGTTGTTGTCTGATTTTGATTGGTCGGAAACTTGTCACTATAATTAAAGGGCAAGTAATTAAACTATTTTTGTATTTATTTAATTTTATATAAGTATATTAAAGTAATTTAATTTTCCTAAGTATCAAAGAAATCATTAGGAGGAATAAAAGAAACATTTTCTATGATACCTAGATAAAATCGAATGATTTTTTTATTACAAAAAAATTATTTAATAACTTTCTATGATACTTTAAGGATCAAATTGATGGAGTAATTTTTGAGAAAAATTACGCGACGCATTAAACATTTACACTGTATTAACTATTCGTAGCTGTACTTTCAGCAAATTTACCATTCATAGCTATATTTGAATCTTATAGCAAATCTATGAAATAAGAGATTAATTGTTTTGAACTGAAAGAAGAGAGCAACAAGCTCTTGTAGCTTAGTTGGTTAGAGTGCCTGTTTAGTTAGCAAAGGTCTTAAATTCGACTATAAAAAATAACATTTTATTTTTCTGTATTTCGCCTGTATTTGTTGCGCGAGTTGTATCCATTGTATAAATGTATTCATTGCACGTTCGAAACAAGTGATACAAATTAGTGACAATTAAATAGTAGCTACGAATGATAATTAAAAAAATTATAGTTACTAAGCTCTAAATTATAGTGCTTTATGAAAATTCCTCTAATTTTGCATCTATTGCTGTTATATACGGCCATTTTACTATCATTGGACAAGAATAATGCACTTTTCTCGAAAGGTTCATCGTTGGATTACAATTTCTATTATCTTTTCTGTATTATGATAGAGATTCCCATATTGTTGACTAGCTTTTCTCTTTTTAATATGCATGATAAATTGAAAATGTCTTTAGTGCAGGAGAAAATGAGTGTGCCCCAAATGGACCTCATACTTCCAATCAAGCAATGTGACGCACGTCTGTGGACGCTTTAATTTATGTCTTTCGTTGAGAAATAAAAAGTTAATTTAGCGAGAGAGCTTGCACAATTTAAACATAATATACACAATTTTTTTTTTTTATGTTTATAAAGTCTAAAATATGCAAAATTCTTTTCCAGAAATCTGATATTTCCATTATATAATTAGCTTGAGAGAAATCATAACAAAAACAAGTAAATTTGAGAATGGCGTGTAGTTTTTGCTTATTTAGTGTACTTTTTATGAGAATTAGTAATAAAAGTAGCTTCAAATTATAGTTTTCCTTTTCATTTAATAGTAAGATCAAATTAAATCTTTACCCTTTCTATGTTCATGTATGCGACAGTATATGTTTTTTTTTTTAATATTTATGATCGTTCATCAATCAAAAAGAAATCATGCAAAAATTTGCTCCAATTTATTTCTTTGTTGCACTCTAGAAATTACAAACAGGTCAACTCTACATTTGTTTTTGTCATCTTTTTTCTTTTTTTATAATTCAACGCTTAATTAATTTGTCAATTCATTATTAGAATATCGTTTTCACCACTACTTGCCAGACCATACGTCTACCTTATGAGCATGGCATTTGATGTCACAATTGTATAAATACCTGTACGTGGATCTCCATTTTAAAGCCAAAAGCAAACCATAACCATACCTCATTTCTTCTTAGTTTTTAGCCTTTGTTTTGCCAGCCCATTTGTTAGTGTAATTTGATCAGAGAAGGCCATGGCGAAGATTGCTGTTGGAAGTGGCAGTGAGGCTATTCAGCCTGACTGCATCCAAGCACTCATTGTTGAGTTTATTTGCACTTTTCTCTTCGTTTTTGCTGGTGTTGGATCTGCCATGGCTGCCAGTAAGTTGCATCAATTTTGAGTCTTTCTTTTTCTTTTTTTCTTTTTTACAATGATGTTGAGATGGTCCCAAAATAAAAAAAGAGAGTTTGGTGAGATTGAACTTAATTATTGCATGGTTACTTGAGTGGATATCGAATTACATACTACTGTCCATTTTTTTTGGGATGTGTATTTCTCTCTATCTTTTTAATGGACATAATGGTTGTTAGTATAAGATTTGATTGATTATTTTGGTTATATTTTATATCTTGGTCATTTCTGTGATAATTGTAGTGTTGAATATTGAAAACAGATAAGCTAAATGGAGATCCACTAGTGAGCTTATTTTTTGTGGCGATGGCACATGCATTGGTGGTGGCTGTAACAATCTCTGCTGGTTTCAGAATCTCTGGTGGACACCTCAACCCTGCTGTCACGCTTGGCCTTTGTATGGGTGGTCATATCACTGTCTTCAGATCAATCCTTTACTGGATTGACCAATTATTGGCTTCTGTTGCTGCTTGTGCTTTGCTCAATTACCTCACTGCTGGATTGGTTAGTAATCCTACTACTACCTTCTCGGCAAGAACCAATAATAAAAAGCAAAATCTTGTGTCCTCTTATCTACTCGTTCTAGTACTAGATACTACATAGACAATCCGCTTACCGGTGGCATATAGACAGACAGATTATCGGTGGCATAAGATCCTTCTCTGCTTGTTTAACTCAAGCCTAATAACAACAATCAGGGGCGGATGTATAGCCGTAATTACGGGGCACGTTAACCCATGGTCCCTCCGCGAACTAAGTATTTTGTGTACATATTTCCTAAAATTGGCTAATATTATGTATTGGCACCCATACTTCAAAAAAGTTGAATGGAGCACTTGGTTCAATACTTAATTATTTACTCAAATTAAGAAACAAAGGATCAATTCCCACTTTTTAAATACTTTTTTTAATTCTTTCTTTAGTGGTGCACCCATGTTCTAGAAATCCTAGATCCGCCTCTAACAATAATCACTCAAAATTATCATACGAGGGATGGAATTAATATGGTGTTGTTGTATGTTGATCTTTCATGTTTGTATTTTTGCAGGAAACACCAGTTCACACACTAGCAAATGGAGTGAGCTATGGTCAAGGGATAATTATGGAGGTGATTTTGACATTTTCTCTATTGTTCACTGTCTATACTACCATTGTGGACCCCAAGAAGGGAATTCTTGAAGGGATGGGCCCACTTCTAACTGGGCTTGTTGTTGGGGCCAACATCATGGCTGGAGGGCCTTTTTCAGGAGCTTCAATGAACCCAGCAAGATCATTTGGGCCAGCTTTTGTTAGTGGAATCTGGACTGATCACTGGGTTTACTGGGTTGGGCCTTTGATTGGTGGTGGGCTTGCTGGCTTTATCTGTGAAAACTTTTTCATTGTTAGAACTTATGTTCCTCTTCCTAGTGATGAATCTTTCTAGGTTTTGCATCAAATGTTCCCTTCCTATTGTGCAGTATTGAAGTGGTTTTGTTTGTTATGCATGTACTATCTTCTATGTTTCCTTTTTTTATAAGTTTATATGAACACTTTCCCTCCTTCGATTATTCCCATATTCTTACTTGTCCGTTCCAACATTAAGCTAAGATAACATTTTTTTTTTTTAATAACATATCACCCGGTTTAAGTGATATGGTTTTAGTTTAGGTGTCAAATATACCAAATTAGTGAGAAATCAAACTTGTTTGATTTCAATTTGGAACGTCAAATGAGAAACTCTTATAAGTCTATTAGATTCTCAAATCTTGGGAAAGTATGAAACGTGACCCAAATTTCTCTTTCACTATTGCTCAAACGGGACAAGAGTTCCTCTGTTCGTTTATTTTTAACACCAGAATATAATCATGTCCACCACTTCTGATACGAAGGGGAGGCAATGGAACAGTAAAAAAATCGACAAAGAAGAGAAAAAGGAAAAAGGAAGGAAAAGCAAAGATAAATTAGGGTAAAATAAAATGGGATTTCATTCATATCCAAGAAAAGAGCTAATTACAACCTATATAGGGAATAAATCCCTGAAAATGACAGAGGAACTCCACTAACTACTCCACTAACTTCTGCCATTTCAGTACACAACTGGGCAGGACCTATTTGGTATAAGACAAAAGAAATTAAGGGGTCAATGTGTAATTTAAGGAACTTCACATTTAAAAGCTAAGGGACTAAACTAAACATCTCTGAAACTCTTTAATTCCAACTAACTAGTCGTTATGTCTCATCTGTGCAGCATAACGTACAACTTCCGCAAGCTACTCAATTCATTCTCTGTATCAGATCCCCCCTGTTAAAAATTTCCTTGTCCTCAAGGAAGGAAAGAAGGAAATCGCACCATGAGAGAGTGGTAGTCTTCCCAAGTGGCCTGTTCTGGTGGTAGTTGATCCCATTGGATGAGGACTTGAGTGATAGCTTTGTTGCCCTTTTGAACCAAACGTCGATCAAGGATTTTGTGGGGACTTGGATAGTATGGGATGGAAATGTCAAGGATAGGAGGGTGGAAAATTTGGGAGGGTAAGTTATGACATAATTTGAGTTGGGAAACATGAAAGGTGGGATGTAGGAGTAACTGAGATGGGAGGGAAAGTTTGTAAGCTACAGGGCCAATTTTTTGTAAGACTTGATATGGGCCATAATATTTAGCTGAAAGCTTTGAGAAATGGGAGCCTGATAATGTTACTTGTCTGTAGGGTTGGATTTTAAGGTAAACCCAGTCACCCACTTTGAATTGTCTATCTGAGCGATGCTTGTTAGCTTGAGCAGTCATCCTTTGTTGTGCCCTATGGAGATGATGTTTGAGAAGTTGTAGTTTGAATTCTCTGGTCAAAAGGCTTTTATCTACTTCTTCTACAGCTGAGTCACCTGCTACATAGGGTAGATGAAGTGGGGGTGGTTGGCCATACAAAGCTTCATATGGTGTTGTTTGTATAGAAGAATGAAAGGTGGTGTTATACCACCATTCAGCAGAAGCGAGGTATGAACACCAGTCAGATTGGGAGTCTGAACAGAAGCAACTAAGGTATGTTTCCAAGCATCTATTGATGAATTCTGTCTGGCCATCAGTTTGGGGGTGGTATGATGTGGAAGTATTGAGTGTCACTCCAGCATAGAGAACAATTCCTGCCAAACTTTACTAGTGAATATGGGATCCCTGTCACTCACTATGCCTTCAGGCATGCCATGAAGTCTGTGAATGTGTTCCATGAAGAGTTTGGCCACCTCTGCAGCTGAATAAGGGTGAGAGAGACTCAAGAAATGAGCATACTTAGTGAGTCTATCGACCACCACTAGAATCACAGTCTTTCCCTTTGACTTTGGTAGGTCCTCAATGAAATCCATGCTAATGCTACTCCAAGATGTGACTGGCAGCTTTAAGGGCTGTAGAAGACCTGGGTAAAGGGACCTATTATACTTGTGCCTTTGGCAAATGTCACAGCCATTGACATAAGTATGGATATCTTCTCTTAACCCTTTCCAATAAAACAGTGAGGCTATCCTTCTGTATGTTTGTTCAATCCCTGAATGGCCCCCCATAGGAGAATCATGCCACAATTGCATAATGTTCTTCTTCAAGCTGGAGTCAGGGCCAATTACCAACTTACCATGCCTTCTAAGTTGATCATGAAAGAATGTGTAGCCCTGTACCTCTGTACCTCCCTTTAAGGTCTGAATCAAAGTAGTCAAGTCTGAGTCTAAGTACCAACTTTGAGTGATCATGTGAAGTAAGTCTGTCTGGATAGAGGATAGGGTAAGGGCAGCTAATTCAGCTGCAGGTAGCCCAGATAAGGCATCAGCCACTTTGTTTTCCTTACCCTTCTTGTACTCAATTATGAAATCATATTGCAATAACTTTGCTATCCACTTCAGTTGTGACCCTGTATGCAGCTTCTGCTCAAGAAGGAATTTCAAAGCCTTTTGATCAGTCTTTACTATAAAGGGCCTGCCAGTTAGATATGGGGCCCACTTGGTGACAGCCATAACCAATGCCAACAATTCCTTGTCATATACTGACAATGTTTGGTGCTGAGGTGAAAGCCCTTTACTCAAGTAAGCTATAGGTTGGCCCCTTTGCATTAAGACTGCACCAATGCCATTGCTGCAAGCATCAGTTTCCACTACAAAAGGTTTTGGGGCTGAATACTCAAATCCTATGACTGTGATTATGAATATTAAGCATACTGGTCATTATCTTGCAACTGGTCAGCTCTTATCCTATCTCTATGACACAAGTCTTGCAATTTATTATGTTTTTGTCGGACGAACCTTAGTTAATTTCTCACCGCACCATATACCCTCACATTATGTACATGTATTCCGTATTTGTGCTTATTGTGTATTGTCATCCCAAAGTATATGTTTTACTTTTTCCTTAATTTTTTGGTTTGCTTGAGAACGGGATGTGAGGGCCTGAGGCGAAGTAAATTTCCTATTAGTCACTTCCACCAATTGATCATTTCACTGGGTCACAATTATATCTGAAATGCAAATGCAATACTTCAAATATGCAGAGAATTATTAATAAGAAAAGACTTCATTGCACCCAAAAAGTGAATATACATTGATTGAGTGGAATTATACAACAAAAGCTGACGTAGCTAGAGGAAAGTAATATAGGAGTCTTGCTTGTTTGCTTACTTAGACTACTCATCTAGGTGATGTTTTATAATGTTTACCCCCAAAATGAGTAACAATTAAATTTGTACGCGGTTTAAAGGATACGTAATTTAATTCTATACGAATAATTAAGAACAACAAGTAAATGAATTGAAGACAAAATAAATAATCAAACCAATCGCAATGTAATGACCAAGCCTGATCTTAGATTGAACAGTAGAATTCGTCCTCGATTGGACCCTCGATTCAAGCTCGATCGCGGGTGAAGAAAAGAACAAATGAATAATGCCTTGAACGGTAGCTAGAAGATAAAGTAAACTTTTATTGCTTTGATTTGCGTGTCACAATGTATCAGAATAAAGAAAACCCTCCCCTTTATATAGTAGGGGAATTTCAATCCTAGTACAAGTCTAAAAAAGGTAAAAATCTTCTTTTCTCGGTAAATGTTGATCTATAGTTGATACTGAACAAGATTCGTGCCGTAATATCTGGTTGAGGGCGAATAGTACGGCCTCCTGCTCGTCATGCATAAGCGTTCACCGCGTCCTCCGAGGTCCAGAAGCTATACTTTGCCCGGGTGCGTCATTTTATCATGTCCGCTCTCAGATACATCGTTCACTCCTCCTGGGTCTCAATACGAGGGGCTCCTGGCCTTGATTATAATCACTTCGAGCCGTGCTTACCTTTTGTTCCTTCATCGGGGAACCAGGGAAAACTTTGCCTTCGATTTTACACGTACACAGATAGTCCCCTCGTTTCCCGGAGAGTAGATTTATCAAAGCTGTCACAACCCGGGATTCCCACCCTCGGGACCGTGATGGCGCCTAACATTTCACTTGCTAGACAAGCCAACTTAGATATAGTTACTAACCATTTTAACAATTCAATTCAAATGAAAAATAATAAGCCGGATAAACTGAAATAGGGTAAATAAACTAATAAATGACGATATCCATATACAATCCCAGAACTGGTGTCACGAATACACGAGCGTCTAAAGTACTACAAATAATAGTCTGCATAAAGCATAACTGTCTGAATCGAAAATAAACAGCTAAGGTGATGTAGAAGGGGATTTCAGGGCTGCGAACGTTGTGCAGTTGTACATCAAATCTACGTCAAGCACTGGATCCGAGAAAATCTACTGAACGCTGCTAGGACTCACTCTAAAATATGCACAATAAGTGCAGAATGTAGTATGAGTACAACTGACCCCATGTACTCTGTAAGTGCCGAGTCTAACCTCGACGAAGTAATGACGAGGCTCAGGCGGGTCACTTACAATAATGTACGCAATAATAATAATAACAACAGGGAAACAAAAATAGAAAATGAAAGTAAGGCAGTTAATTTATGAAATTGAACTCAATCCTCGCAATCAGAGAACCCAGAACAACAGATCTTATAATTTCATATAGAATGCTAAAATCCAACACAATAACAACAACAAGTACATCACACACAATCTATTGCGGTGCGCAACCTGATCCTACCATACAGGTATACACACACAATCCTCCCTTTTTTTTACCTTAGCATCATTTATCAATATCAAGAATCACGTATACAATCCGTTGCGGTGTGCAACCGGATCCCACCATATCATCATAATCAATGTCATAATCCTCCCTTATTACACCATATCATTATTTATCAATATCAAGTATTACGTACATAACCGTTGTGGCGCGCAACCCGATCCCACCATATCATCAGAATCAATATCATAATCCTCCCGTATTCCACCATATCACAACTATTGTGGTGTGCAACCCGATCCACAAACAATTACAATAAACGTAATCAATACAATATCTTAATTTACAAGAATCTCTATAATCAAAGCATATGAAAACAAATGAATGCTACAAGTAATACAAAAGCAACAAGACAAGTCAAGTACGTGACAATTAAGGTATGCAAGTAAGACAATTAAGACA